TTTGGGAAATGGCCAGGAAGGCAGACAAGGGACGAATATGGGAAGCTGGGTTTAGGAGGTGCTGCGAGTGTTTCCAGGTAAGCTGCCATCTTTGGTTGTCAGCTTTATAACATCTAGAATTAACTAAAACCAAGAGGCTGGGCACACCTATGAGGGAATTTTTCTTAATTAAATCGTTTGAAGCAGGAAGACACACTTCTAATCTAGATCTTTCAGGTGGGATGAGCCCCCTTAAATCCGGACCTCCATTCTGCTGGAGGGCCACGACAGAAGGAAGCTTGCTCTCTCTGTGCCTATTTGTCCGCCCCTCACTGTCAAGTCCATTCCTTCACTGGTTAGGGCCTGCTTCTTTGAGAATGTGTCATATCCAGCCTCGTGGACGGGACAACTACCGGACCCTTGGGCCTTCCATTCATTGGCAGCCATCATTGGACTAGCTGAGCCACACCCTCTAAGCTACTCTAATAAATCCCCTTTCTACATAGAGAGGTTCATTCTACACGTGTTGTTCCTCTAGAATTCTAACACACTAGTATCTATCTGCAGGTTTGAAGGGCACTGGAAATGGGGCAGCCCTCACAATCAGCAGCTTATAAAACCAGGAACTGAAACTGTACGACTAGTTACTGAGGAAGAGAATGAGAGTATGAGGCATATTCTGGTCCCAGGCACACACTGTGAGCTGTCCAGATAGCTGTTGATACTCCTACCCAGAAGTGCGATGGCAGAGAACAAGGGCCATCCATTGTCCCTGCCCGTGCCTTTAAGGGGCAATTCAAGTTAATCATTCAGACAGGAATAAAATGCTCAGGGAAGCTGTCCTAGAAACTTTAGAAATAGTATAAAGTCTTGATGGGGGAAATCTTTCTGTGTATATGTTGGCCAATGTGCAAGCAAGATAGATGAGACTAGCATATATATTACTAATATGTGACTTCACTGCCATCTTAGTTAAAGGTGACCACATGGAGTGGACCTCCCAAGGAGACAACAAGGGTTACAAACACTAGGATTTAAAACAACGCTGATTTAATGAGGTGTTAAAGCAACTCCTCCATGTGTTCATGTAGAGGAACATGTCTTGCTGGCAGCCAGATTTTGTAACTTACGAGTAATCCTCTTGGTATTGATTTTAAAGACACTGAATTGTTTACACTGTGGAAACTTGGTTTTGTCTTCTACAAATTATGGCTGTGCTCTATGTCTTCATTCTTGAAATAAAAAAGGTAGTTTCGATATTACCAAAACACACAGTTGAGATACCTTAAACTTCTTTCAAAGAAAATTTTGGAGTTTTATAGAAAGTTTAAATAAATTGGATATTTTTAAGAAACAGTTTAAAATGCTTAAAATTGCAAATTTATAAGCATCTGGGACATTTTAAAATTTATAAGACATTTTATTATAATGCCTTCATTATTATATAATCTTAACACATAGGGGAATAAAAAGCTAAAACTTAGACCTCAGCTAAACACCAGAGACGGAGGTATTCCTATCTTATGATGCAGCAAGATGGCGACCTAAGCAGTCTGGCAGAGGGTCTCCCCTTACCTCAGGTCTATTCAGGCTAACAGAGACTGATTTAGGAATGTGTGTCTAAGCTCCTTGCATTGCTAAGCTGTAGCTAGTTTGGTAAACTAAGTCATACAGAAAACTGTTGTGTTCTACATTGGTGTACTATAAAAGGATCAGCAAAGATCCCAGTCTCTGTGGACTGTGTTTATGAGCTAAAAGTCTCGTCTTGATATTAAAAGAGTTTCAACTCAGAAACTGCTATTTTCTAAGGCTAAACTTAACAGGCCTAAAGCTATAAAGTCCTAATCTTATAAAACAAACAAGTTATAAAATCCTAACCTAGTAAGACACACAAGTTAATAGTCAGTCACCTCATAAAGGATCAAATTCTTTGATATTTTCAGATTTAGCTTCTTATATGTTTTCAAAGTTAAGCCGAAAACAAGCGACATTTGTCCTATTTTTATATACCTAACAGACAATGGTCCTCAAATGTTTCAAAGAGCATTTAAAATGTTTTAAGAAAAAGCTTTTCATGATAGAGACATGCCATCTCCTCCAAAGAAGATGGATGGGTGCCGAGGAGCTTCCACCTGGAGCTTGCTTTAAGTGTGGCAAAGCTGGCCACTGGGGGAAAAGTTGCCCATTACTTCACCTGCTGCCAGGATGCTGCTAAGACTATGGGCACAGACACTGAGGAGCTGACTGCCTGCCTTTGCCTAGAAAAGGCAAAGTGCCAGGTTCCCACTCCTCAGGAGAGTCTGGCAGATCTTCTGAGGCTGGCAGCTGAAGACTGATGCTGCCCCGAGACCTCTGCCCCCAGTGATCGCGGAGGAACCTGGGGTAGCTGTCTAGGTAGCCAGTCAGTCCCTGTCATTTCAACAGATTACTCAGGTGAAGTTTATCCTCAGATCTGATGGGGTTTGATAGCTAGTGATAGCTTTGCCAGTTTAACACCCCTCCCACCCCCACCTCCCCAACACCCGCTGAGGTTACAACCACGCTGGTTGTTCATTAGTTAAGATTCTTGTTAAAAATACAGACAGGTTTGCTTTGTGCACAGGCTTCATAGCAAAGGATAACCAGGTTTTAGGTGTAACTTTCCACTAAAGAAACACAGAAAATGATTTAATATACATAAATGCAAGTTGTAAAGGTATACATAAATGATTTAAGGTGTGTAAAGATGTTTCAGACTTCCGTCCCCTAGCTATGCTATTGTCATACTGGGATTTCTGAGGTTCAGGGTTTTGGCATTGATAAATGGAGTTCTGATAGAGCACCATCTACTTAATATTCAGTTACAAGCTCAGGATTTTAAATTTCCTTTGGTTGTTTTCTAAGTATAGACCTAAAGGTGTGTTTCATCAGGCTAAAACCAGGCTCTTGAGGCACAGAAAAAATATTCATGCCTTTTAACCAAAAGGCTTTGCTATGACCCCGAGGTGTGACTCTGTTCCAGCTGTTTCACAGACACCTGTGTGTTCCTGGGGACAGAGAGCTGCTACTGTATCAACAAATCTGGCCTGGTGGAACCTAATATTAAGTCACTCCACCAACTGTCTGAAGGACTTTGCCAATTCACTCTGAGCACATCTCTGTTCCATTCTTCCTGGCAGTCTTCCCTCTTTCCATGGCTAGCCCCGTTCACAGGGCTGGTGACAATAATCTGTCCATTTTGTTTCTCCTACCTAGCACCTTGCCTCCTCTGCTTCCTCCAAGATTCCTGAAGTCTCCAGAGGCAGTTAACCCAATGCCTCTTCACCCATGCCTCCTGTTGAGCACCAGCCCACTGACTCCTGACTCCTCCTCCCCAGGTTGTTCCATGCCAACAGGAAGTAGCCAGATTTGAACCATGCCCATATTCCCCCCAAAGTTAGGATGTTTGGTTGGAATCTCCAGCTTGCACCTGCAGGATCCAAAAAGCCCCATTGTTGCTCTCTCTCTCCAAAACCCTGCCCAAAAAGCCCTGTTCTGCATTGTTGGTGACCACTGAAGCTTCCTCTTCTGAAGTTGCCAGGCACCCCAGTCCCGGCTGAAAGCACTCATCTTTTGACCACACTTGGGCACAAATCCAAATGCTGTAGTGGGCATGTCATCACCCCTCACCTGCAATATATAAAGTCTCCCTGCTTTAGTTTGGAGGTGTGGCTTCTCCAGCCTCAATACCTGGGACTGAAGAACTCACCCAGGAGTTGCTTTGCTCAAATAAACCTATTGTTACACTTTTTCAATTCAGCTTGATCTGGCTTACTGTGTCAGGGAAGACTGTCGAGCTAAGGAGAAGCCAGTTGAGATCCTGGTAGCTGTGAGAAAATCCCAAACTTATCAGAAATGACTGGAGAAGTTTGGACAAGAGAATGCCATGAGCCTAATTTATATACCCATGGGCTGGTGGTATATAAGAACATTTTCCTCATTTACATATAAAAGTAATAATGGTAAGCCAGGATAGAGAGCTCTGGAGTTCAGAGAAACAGGAAGCCAGAACAAAGAATGTTCAAGCATTGGAAATAGTAACGGGCTCCTGCACACTGGTAGAAGATGCCTTGGGGGCCTCCAGATGAGAAAACCCAGTGAGCCCAGATATAGAGGGAACACACAAATGGGGCTTTGGGTACAAGACTGGAAAGGGTTAGGTGGGTTTGGGGTTCCTGTATGGGAATACTTGGGGGGCATGAATCGCAAGGACAGAAAACCCATCTAGTTTGAATGGGAGAAGGACCTGGATGTGACCCTGCATTGGGCAAGGAGCTACACAAAAAACATGAGTCCAATTTAGAAAACTTGACCATTCTGGATTCATAGGTAAAGAAGAATCCACACAACACATGGAATGGGGAGGACACTCTCCACAGATGAGGGATGGGACATGGTGCTATACTGACATAGCATCCCTTGCCATTTCCTAAAATGGGAAGACATCTCAATTAACAGTATTATGGTTTCTTACCCCTCGATTTTCACTCCTAGTTTTCTTGATTTTTACTTCTCTATCCGAAGTGGGAATGACTGTAAAGACAGCTGCTGGTTTCCTATCTTGAAGTACTCTTCGGGAAGGACGAAACTTTCACGTGTTGATCTAATGTAATTCCTAATTATTTACTATATAGTTCAGTTTACACTTTGGAAACATAACTGCCTTCTTCCAATTTTCCTAGGCATTTTAAACCTAGGAATGTTGACACTGTCTATATAATGGCACTTGTGACTGAAAAGCATCATACAAAAACATTCTTTCACTTGGAAGTCCTGAAATAGAAAAGTAATCATGTTGGATAAGCAGTTCGGCAGTTCCTCTGCTTGACTTCCTAGGACTGCCAGGACAGGTTTAGTCTCCACCCATGTGCAATATTCAAGCAGGAAAAGCATTCCATTCAGCTTTGCCAATGACTGGTTTTTGTTTTGTTTTTGCTGTTGTTGGACTTGTTATGTTTATTTTGTTTTGTGTGTAGGACATTCTTGAAACTACAAATACTCACTTGAACTTTTCAGCAGGATTCTGGGTATGAGGCCACCACCATGGAGCAGGGTCTCCAGAAGCAGGTCCCACTTACAGCACGGCTGGGATAAGAGTAGCTTTAACTGACCCTCGGCATTCAGTCCTCCAGCTGACATAGGCCTTTCAAAATTCAAGATAAGATGGAGTAATAAAGTTAATCTGTCTATGAAATTAATAACCTTAAAGTCCAGATGTAATGCCAACTCCTGAAAATGTTGATTCCTCCCAGATTCCTCTGAAAATGCTTTCATGCTTGCTTACTTTAGGGTTGCTCAGGGAAGGAATTACATTTAATCTCAACTAGCTGAAAGCAAATTAACACTTGGTAGCCTGCCAACCCTGAAGCTAATAAAAAAATAACCATGCCTATATTTTACAGAACTCTATTTTTCTTTTCTTTCTTTCCTTTTTCTTTTTCATGGAGAAAAGAAAAACCACTTAGACATTTATTTTGAATGTCATCATTTTTTCATCTGCTAAAGGCATAATGACTGCGTACTAGATACTATTACCTTCTTTTCTCATTTGTGGAAAGATGTTCTAGGGTTTTTTTAAATACTTGGGATGTTGATTTATACTGAAATTGCTGAAGAGAAAAAAAAGCTAAAGGAATTCAAAACTTCTGTGAAGGCTCCACCACAATCTAATTATTTAATAAGAAAATTCTTAAATCAACATGCAATTATCAGAATTGATGCTACAATTCACCCTTTGACCTACTTAAGTAGTGTCACCAAAGAGAAATAATTCCTAGACAAGCAGGCTTCTGCTTTCTAAACTGTCATCAGTTTTGAGCAGAAAATCAGCATCCCCGGAGAACTACTTCATTTCCTGTATAGCAGCAGGGCATCAGAAAGCAGGAATTATCAATAGCATTGTTCAACTTCTCCTTCTAAAATCCCCGAATTTGGGTCATATAAAAGTCCTAACAAGAGAGACAAACTTCAGTAACTGCCTGCGGTGGTGGCTACATGGGCTGAGGAAGGAAGCTGGGCTGGGAAGGGAAGCTGTGATTTGGGTGGTGTGGAATTTGAGAGGGGCACACACTGCACAGGGCAGAGAGGACAGTCTGTTGAGCTGTCACTAGCAACCACTTTCTAATGGTTGGTCCCTAGATAACAACACATCTGACTGCTGACCTCAGCATGAGAGAATGTGCTAAAATGCAAACATGCAGATGCTTCTGTTTGTTTCTCACTCTCAAGCCTAGACAGGCTCAGAATCCAACTCACAGGACAGCCCAGTCTTGCCTCAAACTCGGGGGAATCCTGCCTTGGAATCCCAAATAATGGGATTGGGGAAACCATCCATCACATCTGGCTAAAATTCTTGAGCGTCCTCTGGTTAGAAAGTGCAGGGGTAGACCACAGAGATCTGTACCCTAACAAGGTCTCTCTAAAAAATCCTGCTGCATGTTATGGTTTGGGACCGCTGCTGCATGCTACAGTTTGGGACCACTGCTGCATACTACAGTTTGGGACCGCTGCTGCATGCTACAGTTTGGGACCGCTGCTGCATGCTACAGTTTGGGACCATTGCTGCATGTTACAGTTTGGGACCGCTGCTGCATGCTACAGTTTGGGACCATTGCTGCATGTTACAGTTTGGGACCACTGCTGCATGCTACAGTTTGGGACCTCAGCTGCATGCTACAGTTTGGAACCATTGCTGCATGTTACCGTTTGGGACCACTGCTGCATGTTATAGTTTGGGACCACTCCTGCATGTTACAGTTTGGGACCACTGCTGTATGTTACAGTTTGGGACCATTGCTGCATGCCAAAGTTTAGGACCTCTGCTGCATGCTACAGTTTGGGACCTCTGCTGCATGCTACAGTTTGGGGCCATTCCAGCATGCTACAGTTTGGGACCACTGTGGACCACTTCAGCACAGTAGTAGAAACAGAAAGATTCATATCACCTTTCAGGCCTCTGGGTCTTTGTACCCATCCAACATTGGCCTTAACTTTCTGACAACAATGAACTAAATGTATTGCTTCAAAATTTAAAGTCTTATACTTTAATCACAATGTAGTATCACCTGAAGATGAGGACCTTGCAGGGTAAGGTTGGGTCAGGAGGTGATGTCATGAATAGGGTTAGAGCTCTTAAATGAAGATGTAGAGAATTATCTTGCCCTACTTTGGCCATGAGGTTACAAGAATTTTTCCTGTTAGCAACCTGGATGGAGGCCTTCACCAGAACCTCATTGCTGGTACCCTCACCCCAATGTCTGTCATAGCACTCTGTGTTAACTAGGACACCATTTATCCATAGAGCTTTGCATGACTCTACATTTACCTTAGTCTTACCCATCTATCCTAGCTAGTTTTAATCAAGTCAACACACACTGAGTTATCTGAAAGAAGAGAATTCAACTGAGAATCTTCATAGGGCATTTTCTTAGTGATAATTGTGGGAGGGCCCAGCCTATTGTGGGTGGTGCCACAACCATGTGCTAGTGGTCCTGGGTTCTATAAGAAGGCAGGCTGAGTAAGACATGGGAAGCAAGCCAGTAAGCAGCACTCCTTCAAGGCTGCTACACCAACTCCTACTTCCAGGTCCTACCCTGTTTGAGTTCTTGTCCTGATTTCCTTGGATGATGAACTATAATGTGGATGCATAAGTCAAAAAACACTTAGCTTTTTTCCCAACTTGCTTTTGGTTGTGGATTTTATCACAGCAACAGTAACCCTAAGACACTATCCTTTAATTTGTAGCAAAAATTCCACTTTCTCTGAAAATTCTTCACTAAATGTTTCTCTTCAGAGTGGCCTCTTAGGTAAAGAATTTATGACAAGCTTACACATTTCAGCACCTACTATTTCATCAGCTAAGATTTTATCTCTCCATCTAGACTCAAGTGTCTTGAGGATACTTGTTTTCTATTACCCAAAGTTTCTTCCACTGAAGAAGGCAGATATTACTGATGCTGCTGGCTGACTGATTTGATCTGTTAGCATGTGCATGGATAGGCAAAGGAGAAGAAAAGAAAGAACTTTGCACTTAGAGCAAGAGGGGAGAAAGTGAGAAGCATCAAAGTTACAACCAAAGAAACTTAAAAGCATCTCCTCCTTGGCAAGGCATCAGGAACATTTCACAACTTCAGGATACACACAACCCTTCAGTTTGTACTTAAACTTGGGGTTAGGCTTTCCTTGTGAGGCCTTGATAACTGGAACCAAGAGTCACTCCTTGAGCATTGGGGCAATGTTAGGTAGGGGATTTTGGCCGTGGGTGGCCAGTGAAGAAAGAACAATCAGCCCAATCCTCAACCAGGGGAGTCAAAGCCAATGGCTTCTGAGGACCCTGAATCCAGAGTTACTTTCCATTTGCTATGCTGGCTCTTTGAGGTTTTGAGCCTGGTTCCAAAAGACACCAAGGCCAACACTATTTCCTCCCTGAACCTTGGGTGTTGGGTTCCTAAGAAGCCATGCAGGTTACTTACTAGAGAGGAAAAGCAGCTAGTGGCAATGGTTACAAGTGTCTTCAGTTGGCTAACTGTCTACATATTACACTTGAGTTAGTGATACAGCTAACGGACAGTTTTGCTAGAATATATAGTGAGGATTTCTGACAGACAGTTGGAAGATGACAGGAGTAAGATCATGGGGAGGCCTGGTATCAACGTGGGAATCTGTATCTATTGAAGAGTTTAAAATGAGGGAGTTTTCTGACATGGTTGTGCTGTAGAAAACTTATTAGAGATAGAGTTTCTTTTTTAACTTAGTCCCATTCACTGTCATTTGAATGTCACTGAATGTCATTTCATCGTACTTTATCTGAATACCTGGCTAATAATAAAATCCTCCATTTAACAGATGGAAAGATGTTCACTGAAATGCACCTTAGTTCTTGAATCTTCCAACTTACCATATATTTTGAAATGTACAATAGAATGAATCACTATGAGGAAAAATAAAATAGTACAAACATTCTTCAGTCACCAAGTTCTGAGTAATGAATGCACTGAAGAGTCTGTGTGGGGCATATGGAGAAGCATATGTTCACTCAGCTTTTGAAATGGTAGGCTGTGAACGTGAGATCAGTCTGAAGATGACAGAAAAGGAAAGAGTGTGTGTGTGTGTGTGTGTGTGTGTGTGTGTGTGTGCGCGCGCGCACGTGTGCATCAAATGTGTACATGTCAAATTCTACTATGACATACAGGAGAATAAAAATTTACAAATCCATCAAAACTCATACATTTCATCCTGGAAGACAGAATAAATTCATAGTTGGATTGTACTAAAATTACACTCCGCTAAATGCTATGTTTCTGTGCTTGGACTGGCTCAAAGAACTCCTCATATCCAGAAGTTATGATGTTCACTCCTTACTGGTTTATGGAAGTTACAAACGGCTTTTGTGGAACAATCATGAAAACGTTTAGCTCTACCTTAGCAGTATGACTATAAAGTAATATGTATAATTTCTACATTTTTGTATATTTACTCATACAGGATTTTTAAGTCAGTGAACTTACCCTACTACTAGTGCACACTTTTTCTTATTTCCACCTTTACTATAAAGCCCAGGCCAGGAGTTCTGCATTATACTCAAGTTATGATATGAGTGAGAATACTGCTCAGATTTTATGACCAGAAGTTAATTTATCCTATCAAAGATGTGCTTTGGGGAAGTTACTAGGTGTTAGAATAAACTAAGGAATGCACAGCTTGTGAACACACCCAGCAGTGTTAGCCACTGTCCTTTATGATAGTTGGCCGCAACAGACTACACAGGTCTATGCACCAGTAGATAAAAGTAGGAGTTTCTTTTTCAGAACTTCACGATGATCTACTTGGAAATGATCTGCTTTGCAACCCTGTAGCCTCAAGTGTACAGGATCTGTGGGAGAGGAAGCCCAACTTTTTTGGTGAAATGGTGTGGGAGCAGAGCAAATCTCTGAACAATGTGTGAGAAGTCGATGAAGTCCTCAGTGAATGTGTGTTGCTGACATGAGCACAGGTGTGTCAGTGATCCCAATATCTGAGACCCATGGGAACTGCCAAAGCCTTCCTCAGTCTGAGTGCAGATATTGACAATGTGTACAGACACTAGAGACTAGTCCATTAAAGAGAACTCCTACAGAGACTACCTAAACCTGCCTCCTTACCCAG